AATTTGTGGGAGTAGATTTCGGGGACGACGGCAGACGTGTTGTACGAAGAGAGACTCGAAAAGTTGCAGTCAAACTTCTTTTTGATAGAAATGGCAGTGAAGGGGGTTTTTTGCAAGAGGTATGTTTTGAATTTCAGATTCTCGTTATTCTTTTTAAAAATTCTCAAATTTTGTTCTTTTTTCCCACAAAAGTTGAACGTGGGCGCGGAAATGGTTTCGAAAATCCAGAATAGGACGGAGCAAAAAATGTGTATTTTGGGTGTATCGCGCTTGAATTCTACAGGCAAACACATTCTGGTCATGGATTATGCAGATCTTGGGGATCTTACTACCTTTTTGCGCAAAAATCCTGATCTCTCGTGGTCTCGTAAGTTACAGATTCTTTTAAAGCTAGCCAGAAGCTTGAAAGATTTCCACGAGGCCGGTATGATCCACCGGGATATCCATGGAGGGAACGTTCTTATTGAGAGTAGAGAAAATAACGCGGATCTCGCGGATTATGGGCTTTCAATTCGTGCAGATGAAGCCGAAAAATATAAGGAAGTATTTGGAGTGATGCCATATGTTGCACCAGAGGTCCTTAGCGGTAAACCATACACCCAGGTATTGTTAAAACTTACTTCTAATGTGCAGTGTCACTGTAGGTATCTGTATTATTAACTATCATTATTTGCAATGTCATTCTCCAGAAAGCAGATATTTATGCATTTGGACTCATAATGTGGATGTTTGAAATGGGAGACACTCCATTCAAGCATAAAGCTCATGATTTGTCTCTAGCCCAAAGCATTTGTGAAGGTGCTAGACCAGAATTGAGCCCTTGGGCACCGGAATTCTATAGAATCGCCTACAAGAAATGCGTTGATCCTGACCCGGAAAAGCGTCCATCTGCTTATAAGCTTGCTTCCGAGATAGACCTGTGGAATCAAGATCATAGTCGGGAATATATTCCAGCACTCGAGAGGGCTAGGAACATGTTAAAAAACCATCGTGTCAAATTGGGGGAGAAGCCAGCTCATCCCGAAGCAGTTTATTTCAGTCGAGTATTCAACTTTGAAAGTCTCCGAATAAATGTAGATGGTATGGTTTTTTTCGGAATGGACGCATTTTTTTATGTTGGAAACCCTAAAATTAAGCATAATGTAGATTTATTAATTAACTTGACGCTTTATATATTATTGACCAGGCTCTAATCAAGTTGGAGTCGAAAGTTCTAGTGAAGTATTAACGACTGGTGTGTATTATTATGTTAAGATATATATTGGCACGTCGTTTACTTGAAAATCATATTAATATAAATTTGTTTGAACAGATTCCAAACAACTTGACCTATTTATTCCGGATATTTAGCTTATAAGTACAACATATTACATAGTATTGTAGCTCGATTTAGAGGATCCAAATAGACGTTATATGTGAAGTCAATGAGGACACGACTGGACATGCGAAGCAGTCACGATTAAGGTCTTTCATGGAATAATTCAGAAATAATGGAAAAAGCGCTTTTGTGACGAAAAAATTGAATGAAATAACGGGATATACTAATACTAATTAAAAAGTTTTTGTTGTACTATGAAGAGCATAACGAGCATGTCTGTAGTTCTTGTTGCACCGATACATCTGATTAGCTATTAAATGTTGCTGAAAACGCATCAACCCGTTTCAAGACTCACAAATATTTTCGATGTTATCACACAATTGAAAGGTGTAAGAGATTTTAATGGGAGAATGGGGCACAACAACTACTGTACATTGAGACGCGTCACCATAGTTTAATTAGCGTTGGCTACCTCACTGCAAAGAGGAGGTATCATTGTTGGAAGAGCATAGGAGACTGAACTGTCTATTAATTGTTCCTTGCGCGCCCAATTCCTATACTAGTAGTAATCATATAGTCTTATCTATAGTCGGGCTGCCCAAACGGTGTGACTATAGGAGGGTTGACTGTATATGTACTATTTATCTGCCGCTTTCACCGCATTGTCCCGTCATCTACGTAACAATTCGGTTAGTTTTAGGTGAAATATATGTTGCCTAATGTGTAGTGTCACTGTAGGTATCTGTATTATTAACTATCATTATTTGCAATGTCGTTCTCCAGAAAGCAGATATTTATGCATTTGGGCTCATAATGTGGATGTTTGAAACGGGAGACACTCCATTCAAGCATAAAGCTCATGATTTGTCTCTAGCCCAAAGCATTTGTGAAGGTACTAGACCAGAATTGAGCCCTTGGGCACCGGAATTCTATAGAATCGTCTACAAGAAATGCGTTGATCCTGACCCGGAAAAGCGTCCAACCGCTTATAAGCTTGCTTTCGAAATAGGGTTGTGGAATCAAGATTGTGATCTGGAATATATTCCAGCACTCGAAAGGGCTAGGAACATGTTAAAAGACCATCGTGTCAAATTGGGGGAGGAACCAGCTCATCCCGAAGCAGTTTAGTTCAGTCGAGTATTCAACTTTGAAAGTCTCCGAATAAATGTAGATGGAAACGATCACGGTACAATTTTTGTAGAATAAACACATTTATTAACTTGACGGTTTGACATATAATTAATCAGATTCCAAGGGTCGGTCCTGCAATTTCCAGTGAAAAAATAACGTCCGGTACGTAGTATTGCGTCAAGATATTAGCACATTGAAATCGTGTTAATTATAATTTATTTTATTTAGATTCCAAACAATTTGACCTGTTTATTCCGGATATTTAGGCTTATAAAAACAACATATTTATGTCCTAATAGTGTTGTCGGTCAATTTTGTTATTCACAGAACAGAGTCCAAATAGACGTTATAATACGGCTGATAAGATACGATTGATTGAAAAAGTTGGATATTCTCTTTAATCAAATAATGGATGTAGTGCAAGTACATGAATGTCATAACCGATAAATTCTCTATCATGCAAACACCTTCGTATTGGGAAACCATGCATTATAACACCATAATAACATAATCAAGAGTCTGCATTTCATGTTGTAAAAATAGGGCACAATATGATGGTTTGGATTGACGTTATCTTTGATAAGAAATTGTTCTTTTGCTTGTGTTTTTTTTGGTTTGGAAATGACTGCAGGTACGACAGCTGTAGTCATTTAATATGCACTCAAACACATGATCACAACTACATATTCGATAACCAAAGCAGCTGGCCTAAAAACACGAGGCTGGAATATTGCACATTGAGACCATAGGCGCGCACACGCATTGGTATCACATGGTTTTGGGGAAGTTTTTTCCGAATGAAGACAATTTAACGGAAGGTCGGATGCCAATTACGATGCGATAATACGAAATACACAAGACAAATTTAACCGTCTAGATATTTAGTTGAGATTGGAAAAAAGAGCACTAAAAAGATCTATGTGCATTGGATAGATGAGAAATATTTGGTAGATGCCAAAGGTAATTGACAGGATATTAGGTTCAAGATAAAACTGCTTTGCAAATAAACAAGAAATGTCGAGATAATATTTAAGGGAGCTATTGTACACAGAACATTCCCCAAGCAAGAGCGAGCAGAAAAGCGGACTAATTAGTAAGAAAAACCAAGAACTAACCCAAAAAGAACGAACAAATAAAGGGATTGGAGGTTTTTAACAAGCCCCTGGTACATTTACAGAATTGGCTTCGCTAATATGATAGACACGGCTCTTGTATGACGCCCAACACATGTATAGCAAGAACTGGCGTTTACAGCAAGACAATGATCCACAGCACACTTATTGTTACAATGTTGGAAAACTGATGTTAAGTAAAGTATCCAAACATTAATAGATATGGATCACCTTAGCTGTGCTTAATAAAGGACACACAAAATCAACATTAATATGGAACAGTAACATGTTCACGTTTCGAGTAGCAAATTATTGAGAGAAACAATGTTTCGCAATAAAGGAAACTTTGATTAAAATACAACGAGCTGTCCTCGAAGCCACAGTCACAATACTCATACTAAAAAGAAAGAATTTCATCATGTATTAAACCGCCTAGATAACAAATGATCAGATATGGAAAGTCTACCACAGAATGTTTTATGATAGTTGGATGAATATTAATATGGGCATGTAATATCATGTTAGCATATTAAACTTTACCATTAGATACCAAAACTCACCTCATGTGTGACGGTTTTGATAGCTTCAAAGGATGTGATAATAGTTTCTCATAATGGGTTTAACATTACAGGGAAACTTGCAACGTTTCGACAGAGTCAATTCAACATAGTTTTTAAGCTTGGTTTATATATTAGTTCACCTTTTAATGTCAATTTAGTGACACGTATTTTTGAAAGCATGTGGTATATGATAGAGGTCTCTTCTCTATACGAAGTTTACGTGTAAGATCACTCACTATAATTGTACACGCGTTTGTCCTTCCACACGTACACTGCGATGCGATGGTTTAGAAATTCATATTATATTGACATTCGTACGACTAATTATAATGCATTGTATATAGATTTAGTCGATTAAATATTATGTGTAATGTGGCTATTACCAAAAAAATCTGTTATGGTTGAAAGACTTGAGATAAATTGTTGCAGGACAAGGATGTGTTATAATGCATTCTTACTTTCACATTAGATAGTAATGAAACATTGGTGGAAATGTTGTTCAAAGGTCTACATTCATTGATACTACCACATATTTCGTATTTAACATACATACTCATCACTTCCTGTTTGTCAATAAACTTTCGTTGACACAAGGAACGAATCAAACTTTGACAAATGTACCTTAAACCCAATAGGCAACCCATGATCGTGTTAACATGTAGATATGTATAAGCTATTTCGTTCAAGAATTAATATAATCGTCACATGATTAGAAAACTCCTCAGGCTTTTGTGATTACTGCACCATACATAGTAAATAGCCTAATAATGATCGACCCGACTTCCTTTTTTTATCACATGCATAATTTTTATTATAAAAACAAGACTTTTGATCGCACTTATTTCCTCTCATACTAACACCTTCCCCCGTCCGCCATCGATGACCGTAACCGCCTCAGACGAGACAGCATTCGACGAGGAATCAACTTGGGGCATTGTACTTCGGGATGTCTTCTCAAAATCGGTGGAGTTTTTCCATCGCATGCTGCCTGTCTATGAGCCATTGAATTTGGAAGGAAGGTCAGACATACCAGAGTTCCACCCTTCCCTATGGAACTTTTTCTGGTCACCCAACTTGTATCTTGCTGTCTTCGTGGTATGAGCATTGAAGATGTCTGCTGCTAACTGGAGACTGGAGACATGAATTAACAGAATGAATTTTTTTCTCCCAAATATTTGTATGTAGAATGTATTGAATAATAGGATTAATGCTATAATTGCACCCCGAACGCCAAGACCGCTGCCAACATACATTCGATTGGCAATACGGTTACCATGTTTTTATTTGATGATAAAATCAGCATTAGTTCTGATTGCTTGTATTGCAGACGAGAGGCAATGGACGCAAGAGTATATGGGTAGTCTGCTTAAAGGCTACAGTATGGAATATACCGATGCACAAGCTTTATGGTTATGTTTAAAGTCTCTGTCAGCGGTTTATGTCATGAAACAGTTTCATTCGAGCATGGAGAACAGGAGGTAAGTTAGTTGGTCGACGTGTTCATGGTTGTCAGATTTAAAGGGTTGATGTATACGTATACGTGAGTGGCTTGCGAGTGATTGTTGGGTTTACGTAGAGTTTTGAGCGAATTGGTATGCTTTTTCCTAGAAGTTGACGCAGTTGGTTTAAATGTGATGGTTTGTTCGCTGACTCTGATATCAGAGCTTGTTTGGCTCGATCTTATTGGTTGCTAGGCTTGACTGCACGTACTTGCAATATTGTGTCCCTATCATTGCACTTGCTAATATATTTTTTTTTCCTTCTAGTCTCCCAGGGCGAGAACAAGCAACTAATCTGTATGAATGGGCTCTCTTATTTCACTTATACGTCTCTAATCGTCATCCGAATACCGATCTGCTCCTAATAGCGCTATTAGAACTATTGGATATAATGTTACTAGAGATACTATACATCCATCCCCGAGGCATTCAATATCGACTTATTCCAACGAGTTTCGTCGGTATACTCGGTATTGTTCATTATGCATATGCGCTTCGTTATAGATCAGATACTTATCCCTTATTGCAAAGTATCGCCCGTTTTCCAGAACTTGCGCTAATAGGAATAATCATCATGTGTACCATATTACATGGGGTGGCTATTGTGGTTACTGGAGGGAATGTCAGGCGTAGGTTCTTCCTTGACGCAAGGACTTTACCAACGTTGAATCAGGATTATACGATGGCATTGTATCAAGTAGGAACAGCCTGCGTATGTATTAGTACACTATGCGACACGAACGTTCTTCATTTCCGACTTGGACATTGACCTATTCGTATTCACATTTCTTTACAGGTCGAAGCAACAAGAATCGATGGATTTCGTAACGAACTCAATCCGGTTGCTGTTCCAATGGGTACAATATTTGAGGCTAACCGGAAAAAGAGCAAAAAAGCTAATAAGAGGCGTCCAACGTGTGGATTTGACAACGAACAATTGGATGATAGCGGAGTTTCTCTATCTCCACCCGAACAAGATGATAATCCACAACGATTTACATTATTAAGCAATTTCTCATATCAGTTGTTGCAAACAGTATCTGCATTTGGTGGTTGGATACTTGAATTTGTGCCATTTATTAATTTTGGACGGGCTCGTCGACAACACATAACACCGTCTTCTGCTTCTAGCGTTGCCGCCACTGCAGCTGCCCTTCAAGCAGTACAGCAAAGCTTATATCATAACTCTGAGACTGAGGTTGATGTTGAAGAAGAGTTGTATAATAATTTCCTGCAAAATGAGACCATTGATGATCAAGATGATGACGAGTATAACGAAGACAGTCAGACTGCTGAGGGCTCGTTGGAAGATGAAGAACAAGACGACATTGTCGATGATGTTGGAGAAGTATATACAGAACTGCTTTCTCTTGGAAGTGACATAAGGGAACAAATACACAATCCAGCCTCGAATTTGGGCAATAGTTCTGGATTGCAACTATTCATCACTCATCTTGTTCATTCTCCTGTGCTCACCCGTACACAGTATCGTAGGCTAACCCAAACGCCGCCTGCATCTGCTGTGTATGATGAGGCTGCTGCTCTACTTACATTGATGGAAGAGCGACAGGCTGTAAGTGATACATTGACTAATCCGATTACGGATCGTCTATGCGTTATTTGTCATACTGAGCCTAGACAATGTTTGTTGAAACCATGCAGGTAAGTTACATGGGATAAATTAGTAACCATCTGATATTCTCCATTAACGATCTTTCTCAACTTTTTGTGTAGATGTTTTGCTATCTGTGATGATTGTAGGCAAGCGATGGCGCAAAAGAGATTTAAAAAGTGTCCGTGTTGTCGGAGTGATGTAGAGGGTTATTGTCGAATTTATGTACCATAGGTAGTTGGTTTAATGGGAATGGGTTATAATCGCGAATTAATGAACATTTGTATATTCGATTCTAAAACTTCTGTCTGACTGCTCAGTTCAGAATTATATACTTAATAAAGTATGATAGAATAAGCGAATTATTTAGACGATACGATAATTAATATTTATTATATTGCAATGCAATCATGGAAAGTTTTGAACAATCGAATAGCGACTTAGCGGCTTTTTCTTTTTTAAAAATCCTATGATTTGATACAAAAGGCTCGTTCACGAGAATGGACTTTTTTTTTGAAACCAAGGGGGATGGGCAATAGAATTGTCGAATAAAACAAGTATGATTTATCATATGTGAGAGAAGCTCCGGTAACGATTGACGTGATAATCAATGAACGCTTGAATCCACTATCATTTCTCCTGAGGGCTCAATGCTAAAAAATTTCACCCATGTATTGTTATAATCATCGTCCGCATCCAATGGTGAGTTGAGAATTGGCAAACAAAGCGTGTTTATTGTTGATAACGAGTGTTAGGGTTGTTTTTTGCAATAAGAATTTGCAACGGTAACAGTATTTTGATTTTTTTCAAAAATAAAAATCTATCAGGGGCCTAAAGTATAGCAACACCCGTTTTTGTTATGTGAGCGCTGACCGTCAAGCACCAAATGTATCCCGACTAGACTTTTTGTAGCTATTGCTATTCGGTTGTATGATCGTGACATACCGATACTACCCACGAATCCTTTTTTGGGATAATCTGTGGACTCGAAATGGTCTTTCACGTTGTCTTACTTTCTATATACCGTATAGTCATAAATATTAGTAGCCAAGACCATTACATAAATTCCAACTACTTGAGCTTAAGAGGTCCTTCTCCCCCATTTGACTTTAGTCCACAAGGAGTTGTTGGTAAAAGTGAGTTTGGATAGTAACAATCGTTCGAAACAAGTTGATTAGTCATTCTTTCTGATGTGAGCGAAGCAAATTTAAATTCGTTTTCCATTTCTGTGCACAATAATTTCCCAAATTGGATTGCTTTCACATGACATTAATATCGTCCGAAAAGCGACAACTATTAGGCCCTGAGATCATGTCTTGAACATATGTCTTAACATAGATATATATTCCATATACTATTCATTATTAAATGGAGTGTACCGCAAATAAATGGTTTTTATCGGAAAAATATTTCTCACTGCATGCCCGAAGAAGCGAACTTGAGTTGAACCAAACTGAAAAGGGCCAATTGCATCCAATGTTTCGGGAATAAGCAAGCTCACTCTTGTGATAAAAATAAACGCTTTGTTACTATTCTTCAAAAGATTGCCGATGTTTTCCCGAAGAATGTAAACGAAAATGAAGACACGTCAAAAAACTTTATTACTCCCTTCCTAATTAGAGAAATTAAAACAGTTTATAATGTATTATTGAAAGAATTTTAATAAGATTCGTGCATATGGAAAAATTAGTTATTATTATGCAGTTTGCTAACTAAATTATGACATCTCAGTTACAGTGGCCAATAAATAAAATTGACGCAAAAATACATTCTTCTTTCAGAACCTCTAATGGAAGTGCAAATTCTATGTTCCGGATTGTTACTACTGGGACAACATAGATTTTATACGTTAGGAAGATGAATCAAAATCCGCTGGCGTAAATTGTTCAAAAACGTCCAATGTTTTTTTATGAGGAGATAAAAGTGGAGCAACCGTTCTCAAATTTATGTATACTTTGTTCCCAAGCCATAGAAAATGGAAGCCGAGATTCGAAAGCGCAGGAATTATGTTCGAATATACAATACTGTAATCTTACACGGAATGTTTCTCAGTAGTTATTAACTTTATTTTTAGCGTTTAACTTAACAGAAGCCTAATGTAAATAATGTTTAGATATAAGATGTAATATAATTTGATTCAATAAAACGCCTGACGGCTGTCAAGCCTTCTGTCTTTAATTTTTTATTGCCTTGTTGCTCAAAAATATCAGGGACTTATAAGAGCATTTCCTAATTTGGATATTTGAAGCAAAGTTTGGAGCAAGCCTTAACCATAGGACGGTCTAATAAAGCAAAGCAATGAGAAAAATAATTGTAGAAAAAAAAAACTAGCAGTTTTACCAATTAATTTATTATTTCAACAAGTTTGGGATTATTTGATTGGTCGACCGACAAAATAAAAATTAAGAAGCAATGCAATTAACATAAATTTAATATCAAACTAGCGCTTTTGCACAACATATTTACAAAAATTGTAGTGTGTTAGTGAGTAATATAACAAATATATATATATAAACAATTTCTGTGTTGTCGAAAAAGTTAATATCAAGTTGCGTGACGTAAAAGTTTAAAATTGTTTAAAAATTAAT